CCACGAGACACGTTCCAAGCCTTCCATCATTCCGCCGTAGACAGTGGCTTCGTTGACGGTTAGCTATCCTCAAAAGTCAATTTCGATGAGGCAGTCCGAAGAATCATCATAATTTACCTGTAAGAGAAATCGAAAGCCGGCCCAAGGTAAAGCAGCATGTGCAGTATCAAATTGCACTGCAGCATCGCCGACTACAGCAAACATTTGGACCCAATCGACAATCTTGGTGAAACAGTCCCTCAAATTGATTGTTCTTCCAGAAATCTGTATCGTCCACTGACTCTTTAGGCACCTATTCTTGGCGTTCACGACTACATCCAATAGTCCTCGACCGTCGTGCTCGAGATCTTTCCATTCCTTCGGCGGCCAATCGTCACATATGTACTCATTGGCTAAAGATTCTATGGCCTCCTTCCAAAAGTTTCTTTGCGCATGCTATTAACTAGAATAATGGCATATCGGGAGATGTCTCACCTCTCGCGAAGACTTATAGGGCCCATTGACCCACTTGCAGCCATTACTTGATTGGAAGGTGTGACATTGACAAGTCCGGGTGACAGGGGTGGATCATCAACTCTTGGAGAAATATCCGAAGTGGGGCGTTGAAAGATTGGATGCGGCGAGCCTACCGCGGCAAGGATCTGGGTGGCCGATTCGATAGCCCGGTCGACTTGGGGTGGTGGTGTAGAAGGTCGAGATGAAGATGATTTTTCACGGACTTTCCTGAATATGTTATTCATTTTATCAAGATTTGAAGGAAAGCAGCAGCAATGGGGGTGGTTCGGAGATGAGTCCTAAAACAAAGCAAACATATCAGGTTGAGCGAAAGATGTTCGAGTTTGCTGGGTATATGCCATACCCATCAAACCATCTCTTATCAAATCTAATACAACATACGAACAACCTCCCGGAAAGACGGATTTCTTGATTGCACCGACAAAGGAGGAAGACACACGACGTCGCCCGGGGATAAATGTACCTCAAATGCATCAGATAGTTCAAATATAGGAGATAAAGATGATATAAGGGGATCTGGTTGACCCTCAAAGGGTCGAACACGACGAACCGTGGTCAGTTGGCAGGGTCGAACGCCATTGCCAAAATAGGACACCGCGTCGCGTTTTCTTCACCAAACCCAGCCTCCCCATCGAGTAACTGAATTTATAATACCCTGATAACCAGATTCGACTATAGGCTTTCCTTTTCCTTTCATATAAGCCAACTTCTATATACCGGTACTGACAAAATTCAACCTTCCGAGCATCTTGATCTGATCTCGCAACGAAAGGCTCACCCTCCAGCTCCTTTGCTTACATTGGGGCTCATACATTTGTTCAAACGATATGCCTAAGAGCAAGGTCGACACCTAAAATATCGCTCAGGGGCTTGTCCATCCATTCATTCGAAGTAAAAGGAGAACCAGCGATCCTTTCGGTAAGGCTCCCCTTTTAGACGACACTCCTTTCGGAGATCACCGAGCAGCATGGCAGCATCTGGCATGCCGAAGGGCCGAATTCGATTGTCAATCTGAAGAGAGACTCTTCGCGATTAAATCGGCTTCATAATTCTTACATAACACTGACAAAGTAACGAAAGGTATATTTGCATTGATAGAACAGGTTACCCCAATTATGATTTCTCAAATGTCCTTTTTGACATTTTGACCAAGGGAATAGTCGGCCCGAGTGCTTGCGTGAAGTATAGTATGAAACGGCAGGTTTTTTGTCCACCCGGCATCTTATACAACATCTGTGCATCAGTTCTGTAAATACTTTGGACTATTGAACAGTGTACCGCGTGATATACCAGTTCTTCGTAACGTTCAACTGAAAAGCCACGCAATAACACGCATGATTAACCGTATTCCGCATTTTTATGGAATCCACGGGCATCGTTATCCATGAAACCTGGTTCATTTTGAGAGAAATATGCGATACGTCCCTGTGTTTGAGATGTAGCTTCCTCGCAACAGGCGCCATCAGAAAGGAGCGTGAAACCTCTATCGGTGAAGGAGACTGGCATGTTCACGAGTGTGATGGACCGTCCTCCACGTATCAGCTCCTGCGCTAGTTGAAGGTCAAAAGCCTGAATAAATCGTTGAGTGCGTTTGTCTTCGAACAAGATTACAAGGAGTATCATACCGCTGAGTGATATAGACTGTTCATTCTCCTCGGCGGAGCTGTGAGTCACATGATGCATAACAAACATCTATACAAGTGTCAACACTCGATAACATGCAATGAAACTTGTATATGAGTTGGTGCTTCTCCATTGGAACCGCATCTGACGAAAGATAGCACTGGGCGGACACATGGGGCTGACACAATAGAGGTTAGAATGCCAAAATATTCCTGGCGCCTGTCACCAGAATAACAGGAGCCCTTTGTAGCCTCTTTCCCTGTGATGGTCTTTCTGGTCGTACTCTAAGATAAAATCGATTAAGAAACTTTGTCAAAGGCTCACCTTGTAGATTCTTTTTGCTCTTTGACACTGTCGCGCCATGCTTTTGAGTGAAGGGTAACAGATGAACATTTGGATATTGTAGGGAGCCAAAGAGAATGAAGTCATCATGATAATCCAGATCCCGGGCCTCTTAAATCCTCTTCATTGTAGGTACGAAGCTAATATTGAGGTTAATAGTATGGCCCGAAGCTTGTCATAGAGGCGTTCGTAATAGTATAGACCAGCCATCTACAAAGGAGGTTCCCATTTGATCACCTAATATTGCAGTTAAACAACGGTTTCCTTGGGATAAAGCAAACAAATCTCACCGATGGTCGCCCAGTGCGAGCTTGGTTCACTGTGGCGTCGCTCTTCTCCTTTCAATATCAGTGTCCAGAAAATTTAGAATCATGAACTATTAGTATTAAAATTGA